AGAAATCATGAAAAGTTAATGGGAATTGAGTGTTCTCCATAATTTATGTAAATATATAATTCATCTAATAACCAGAAAAAGAAGAGTAAAGGAGCAATCTGATGTTGTCCACCCTTGATGCATCCCCACATTGCTGAAGATTGACTATACTGGTTAGGGCTGATGGGAGTTGAAGTCCAAAACACCTGGAGAGTGCCAGGTTGAGCAAGCATAGCCTAGGTCCAAGATTACCAAGTACTGCCAAGTTTAGAGGCCCTGTTTTGTGTCTTTTCAAAATCAAAAGTGCCTAGAATGAGTGTGAGGGACAGGGCCCTTTTTAGTTGTGGTGCCAAGGCAATGTAATTTTCTCCCAAGGAAGGTCCACCTAAAGCAGGAGGCAGTTGTTAAAGGTCATGTACATATACACAGCCCATATTGAACTTTATTGTATTTCTGGATATGATGCATACAACATTGTGTCAAAAGTCAGGGTGTGGACGTCATGCAAAGACATTTCTGCTACTCATGTTGGACCTTGGAGCTATCTGGATTGAAGACATATGGTTGTAGCATGCCATTGGTTGAAATGCTTGAAAAGAAAGGGAAGAGACAGTGATTAATCAGAATATGATGTGGCCAACTATCTCATCCATCCTTATTTATTGAACTGTTTTCATAATTGGTACTGGAAATCCAAAAGTTTAGAGTTAATGTCCTTCAAAATGATGAGTGGGAGCTTTCATAGCCATTTCAAAGGAAGATTACTTTGTTCTTTTTCCTTTTTGGCTGATCAGTATTTGACCTTTTGCAAGTCCTCTTTACTCTGACTGAATCTTTTGATTGGCAGACTCAAGCCAATGCTCAGCTGAAAACATTTCGCCTCCCTGCTTATCTGCACTACTGTGATTCCTGCTCCATTTTTCTAACCCTGCCAACCCACACATTGGTCCTGCTTATCTGTGTTGGTAGCTTTAATTTATGTAGCATTAGTAACTCTCAAAGTGTTCTCATTCTGCTTTCCTCCCACCATAACCATGGGAGGTACATAGCTGCTACTGCCTTTTTGTGGTTGAGAAACTGAGACTGAAACAGCAGATGGTGCTGACTCAGTGACATAGTGCTTTGAAGAGCATCAGGCCATTCCTCACAACCGCACACCCAGGGGATGTCCGCATTGCAGGCTACTCTCTTAATCCATGTCAGTACACCAGTTCTAGCAGTCGTCTCTTCCACCACAACCAGGCCTTTGTAAAGCTGAGGGGCCTTAATTGTCCATCAGTATTAAGCTGCTCCATAAAATTATACACTGTTGTAACATACGCTGGATCATGCAGAAAGCTAGGAAGTTCCAGAAAAACATCTACTTCTGCTTCATTGACTATGCTAAAGCCTTTGATTGTGTGGATCACAACCAATTGTGGCAAGTTCTTAAAGAGATGGGAGTACCAGACCATCTTATTTGTCTCTTGAGAAACCTATATGAGGGTCAAGAAGCAACAGTGAGAAATGGACACGGAAGCACTGATTGGTTCAAAATTGAGAAAGGAGTTTGGCAAGGCTGTATACTGTCACCCTGCCTATTTAACTTATATGCAGAGTATATCATGAGAAAGGCAGGGCTAGATGAATCACCAGTTGGAATTAAGATTGCTGGGATAAATATCAACAATCTCAGATATGCAGATGATACCACTCTAATGGCAGAAAGTGAAGAGGAACTAAAGAGCCTCATGATGCGGGTGAAGGAGGAGAGCGCAAAAGTTGGCGTGAAACTCAACATTAAGAAAACTAAGATTATGGCATCTGGTCCTCTCACTTCCTGGCAAATAGATGGGGAAGAAATGGAGGTAGTGAAAGATTTTATTTTCCTAGGCTCCAAGATCACTGCAGACAGGGACTGCAGCCAAGAAATTAAAAGACGCTCTTTGGGAGGAAAGCTATGGCAAATCTAGACAGCATACTAAAAAGCAGAGACATTACCCTGCCAACAAAAGTGCGTATAGTCAAGGCTATGGTTTTCTCAGTTGCAATGTATGGCTGTGAATGTTGGACCATAAGGAAGGCTGAGCGCCGAAGGATTGAGGCCTTTGAATTGTGGTGCTGGAGGAGACTCCTGTGAGTCTCTTGGACAGCAAGGCAATCAAACCGATCTGTCCTAGCAGAGATCAACCCTGACTGCTCTTTAGAAGGCCAGATACAGAAGATGAAACTCTAATACTCTGGCCACCTAATGAGAAGGAAGAACTCACTGGAGAAGAGCCTAATGCTGGGAACAATTGACGGTAAAAGAAGGGGGCGACAGAGAATGAGGCTGCTGGATGGAGTCACTGAAGCAGTTGGCGTGAGCTTAGGTGGACTCCGGGGGATGGTGGAGGACAGAAAGGCCTGGAGGAATGTTGTCCATGGGGTCACGATGGGACGGACACGACTTTGCAACTAGCAACAACAACAACAACAACAAAACCTGCCCAGAGAGCTTCAACTATGGGGTGGCATGGAAATGAAATACACAGAAACAGAGAAAGTCAGAAGGAACCTCCTGAGCCATCTAGTCTGACCCCCAGCTCCAGCCGGCTCCACTCACGACATGCCTGCTACCATGTGCATGTTCAGCCTATCAGCAGTGGGATTTTAGCCTCGTCCCGTGGAAGCCCATTTCGTACCCTTGGGGCCCTAATTGTCAGAAAGTACTTCCTGGCATCCAAATTGAACCTTGGTTCCCTGAGCTTTACTATACATAAATAGTAGTAGTAGTAGTAGTAGTAGTAGTAGTAGTAGTAGTAGTACCACTTCTCCCCACTCTAGCCACCTGCAGGGATTGCAATTAGCCTGAGGAGGAACAGGAGTTCTGAGAGGTATGGTGGTGACCTCGCTGCTGATCAAATGGGCTGGTGCCACATCCCTGTGGGTCCTGGCTCCACTATAGCACTGCTCTGACTCTTAGCCAGTGTTTTGACAGCTAAGAAAAGGCTGTGAGATCTGTGTACATTAGAAGAATTCTATGAATGGCTGGTTGTAAGAAATCATTCTGAAGCCTTTCTCGTGTTTGTAAATCTTTTTTGTGCACCTAACTTTCTCCAAGGTAGAACTGTATGTTGACTTTTTCCTATGGGGCAGCCTTATCACTAACATCATTTGGAAGCAATATGTTTGATCTGTATGGGTTGTTTCTCTAAAGCAATCTGTGGCAATAGCATTACTTGCCACCATGTATGAAAGGCTCAGTATGTCAATGGCTGCACCTGTGCAATGAGAAACATAACCTGAAAGCAAAAGCAAAGGATCAGTGGAAGTTTAATTGTTGAGGGGAGTGTTGATGGTTTCCAGTTTGGACTCTATTATATAGGAGAGTGGTTCTGAGCGCATTGTTCTGATCCAGGTGATGTCTACAGAAAGAGCTTCCCATTTTACAACCAGTGGTATCCTGTAATTGTTCCCATTTATTCCCCTTTCCCAAAGTCACATGGGAAGACTTAATAATAATTAATAGCTCAAAGAGAGACTGGATCTGCCAGATTGCTGCCTTATGCTCTGAAAAATCTAGCTTTGCCTGAGGTAAAAGTTTTCTAGGATAAGTTATTACTACTTGACAGTTTGATGTTCCTATTCAAGTCTGCTATAAAAGAGGTGAACAGTGAAGATGAGCTCGATGCGCAGAGACTGTGATGCTCTTGGTTTGTCATCACTGAAGCTGCTCTTAAGTGACCATGACTTTCCAGAAGAAAGATCTGGTAACTGGGTAGATGATTGGTTTTGCATAAGATGGAAATTGATCTTCCCAGATCCTAAATATTCTTAATTAAAAAACTGCAACTTAAGTAATCAGCAAGTCATTATTAGAATAAAATTAGGAGTATGAGGTTGCTCAGTTGGGCTCGATGGAGAGTCCTGATGAGTTAAAAGATGGTGCCTTGTAGAGTCAGGAGCTTGATCCAAATTCCTTCAGTGGCCTGCTAGTCTTCAATCCACAGCATCATCTACAATAATTAATATTATACAAGACCACTTGTGTTATACAGACATTTGATGTCAAAACATACATCGAAAAAAGTTAGATGGAACATCATGAATTCAGTTTTGTGGGAGAAAACATAAGCTAGAAATAGGCAAGCAGAGTCTCCAGACTCAAACCTGACCCTGAGAGGAGTATTAGATGGCCCCTCAGTAGTTCATTCAGAGGCAAGAGGTGTGTGTGCAAGGAGCGATAGTTGTGGTCCTTGTATCTGTTATGAGATGGGACTCATCACCTTAGATGTTGTGGAGCGGTATGTAAGCTTTAATGTGGCTTATTGTCTTGCCGTCAGATCCAGTTTTAATTCAGCTTATTTTAAAAATAAGCTTATTTTTTTCAAAGTCTGGTTTAAATCAGCATTAATTTCCCTGCTTAGAAAAAGAAACATTTTAATATAAACCCTAGGATGTAATCCAGATCTCCTGTATTCCATTTCTGTCTCCAGTAGTTGTCTCAGTTATACGCTGTCATACACTTCTTTAGCGTTGCAGGGGAAGTGAGGTAGTAAGTTATTTTCCAAATCAGTAGTAATTTTTTTCTTCCTTCAAATGTCAAACGTCTTCCTCTTCTCTCTAGATAGGTGCTCTTCTCTGATACTGCCAGGTACAGAGCAAATACAACAGCATCTGTGAATGTGGTCACTGGGATCCCAATGACATAAAACAGTTCTTCAAACTGGTTACCAGATTGCTGTTTTAGAAAACATTTAGAACAAGAGCAAACTGAATAAGTATATTAATCTTTGCACAAAAGTGCTTAGAAATTAGTACAATTAAGAGATCTTTTAGAAATCATTATCCAATTCATAAGTTGCCACAGAAACTATCTGCATTGCAAGGTCTTTTTCTCCTCTCTCTCCTCCTCCTTTCTTCTTGCCTATGAGCTCTTTGAGGTTTTGCAGTAGCCACATTGCTTCTTGCTGAAATTAGAGCAGCAATAAAAACAAGGTAGACAAAAGAAGACATGGCTGGTTGAAGACTTGCACTTTGTTTTTCCCTTACACCAATAGGTCCTCATGTCCTTGCATGAAATGTTCCCTGCGGTGCTTGCAGCAGAAATGGCAGTCCAGCGAGATCCTCATTCTTGGGAGGCATGGCAGACATTGGGACGTGCCCAGCTCGGATTAGGAGAAATTGCACTGGTAAGTGTGAAAGGGGGAAATGCTCGTTTTTCAATCAGAATTTCTTACAGCCAACACCATTATATGTTGAAAGAATGTTTTAAAACAAGGCATACTTCTTTTTAAAAGAAATGTAATACAGACAAAGGTGATGGGCTCTGCTCTAAATAACTTCTCTCTTGATTTTTTTCTTCCCTGTATTGTTAAACTAGCTGTAAGAGATGCAGTTTGCCCTCAGTACTGCTATCCAGTTGGTGTGACCAGTACACATCTCCTCTTTGGCTTTCAACTGTGTGTAAAATTCTCAATATGCCAGGCATGCACATGCATCTTTATTACTCCCAAGAGAAGCATCTTTTAAAAAAAACAATCAGGATTCAAAATGGAGCCTGATGACAACATCCTTTCTGGGTAACAATGGAGAGGAATGTGTTGGTTTTGATGAAATATGGTAATTTTCCCACATTTTTAAATAGCCAGAAAATTTTGGAGTCATGTCTGACTTATGGGAGAAAAAAAATAATAGGCATGCTTCAGGATGTTCTGCTGATTATTTTTCTGTTTTTTAAAAAAAGGATCAGAAAATACTCAGTTTGTTTTTAAAAGCTGTTTGATTCAAGGAAGCTTTTGCACCACTGGAAGAAATGAAAGCTTTTTGTCCTGTCTTATATCTGCTTTGGATATCAAGTGGGCAAAACAACAAACGTATCATTGCACTCCACAGCATGGAAATTATCTGCAATCAAAATGCCTACTTAAAATGCATCTTTTCTCGTTCTTACTGGAAAAGATAGAGATCAGTAACAGCACCTCAGGAAGCTTGTGTCATTTTCCACAACATCATGAGTGCAACCTTCAGGATGTTTTTGACTGTGAGAATGCTACCCAAGATGGAAAGAAACAAAATGTCAAGAAGATACCTTACTTATTTTAATTGCATTGACTCTGTTGTAATGAGCTGAAGAAATTTCTGAAGAAATAGGCCAGAAAAGAAGGTGATTGTAAAGAAGGAAATTGAAAACTATCTGCAAGCTCCATTACAATTACACTTCCCTGACTAGGCTAGTCTTAATATGTTTTTCATTTCCTGCACCATCCAACACCTCAAAGTCACGCCTGTGCAACACCCCGATTCTCATGCTACATATGAGAGTCTCAAGTGCCCCCACCCCACATCACATGTGACAAAGGTAAAAGAGTGTTTCCCAAATTGGTGTCGTCCCGATGCTTTAGACTACAACTCCCAGGGCACCTGACCTTTGGACATACCAACCAGCTTGGGTTGATGGGAATGGGAATCCAAAATGCCTGGAGGGCCTCAGGTTGGAGAGGGCAGTGCTAAAAAGAGCTATTGATTCTAGAGTTCAGAATGAGCCTCCTCCCGTGCAAAACAGCAGGCTGTGTGCTGCCTGGCAGTTTAACAGCCATGTGCCTGCATGTTCATAGAAACTTCATGTTCCACAGCAATGGATCCCAGTTGCTGAAGAGAGCATACTCCTCTATGCTGTGTGGAGCATTATGGAAGATACAGTCCATCACATCTAGAAGGGGGTGTAAAGTTGGGAAAGGTGGCTGTATCACGTTGGGTAAGGCTGCCGTGCAAGGGAAGAACGTGGTAGAATTTTTTAAATAGACAGCATTTCCTGGTGTATTTTTTAAATAGATGGCATTTTGTCAGGTTGTGTGTCTCACCAAAACCTTCAGCACTTTGGTGTTGCACTGACAAATATTTTCAAGGCAGTGATGGATCCAAATTTTTTTACGTTACTAAACTGTGCTTCTCTTGGCAACGTGGTAATAACAACGGCATCAATCTGAGAAGGGGTGCAGGGAAGCAACTTTGGCAAGGCAGTGCAAGCAATCCAAAACAATTGTTTGGAATGGACTTGGTCGTGCTTTCTTTCGTCCTGCAAGAGGCTGCTCATCCGTGCCAGAGAAGGGGGTTTCGGCATATGGGGATTCTCCATGTGGCCTGTGAGCCGCTTCTTCCACTGTCCCCGCCTCCACTTCTTCCTCCAAACCTGTGCAGGAAATCTCTGCTGTTATCGCCAGTCACTGATCAGTGATCAGAGTTGTGTTTTTCGTACTGAGCACTAAATAAAGACAGGCTTTCCTTAGCATTGTGCTGGGGAACTCTGGTAAGAGAGGATTTAATGACATTTAAACAAAATAATCCACTCTTGAAGGGTATTTCAAGAACAAAGTTATGTAAACCAGGCCTTTAAGGAGAAGGTCTGTGTTTTAAAAGTTTATTTCTGTAGCTTCTGTGATCTGTGTCTGTAGCTTACTTCTGAGAAGCCTGGCATAGAACTGAGCTATTCATTGCATGCCTGAAATCTGTTGCATGCTGGCTTTTATCCTTGAGTAGAGACCTGCATAGAATTGAGCTATGCTTTGCCTGCATGATGTGAAAACGCCCAAATCAGAACAAATTACATCTGGCCCAGCTACCTTGTTTTGGCTCAGCCTGCTTAGAACTCCTCACCAGCTATGGAAATGCAGCCCCTCAGATACTTCCCAAATGGGAATTCAGCCCATGGGCTGAAGTATTTCCCCATTCTTTGATACATCTATAGCAAATACTTTCGCTATTCCTAGGGAAGCAGCAGTTGTCCCTCAACACTCACAGTGCGGTCAATCTTTGGTTTGTTTTCCCCAGGCGTTCCCCAGCCAGGTCATCTCCCCGCACTCTTCTGATGTGAAAGTATGACATCACTCTGAGGCTTCCCAGGTCATTTTTTATTTTTTGCAAAATTCCCAAGAACTCTTTTGCCTAGGACGGCTGTGAAAGAGGATATATTTTCAGAGTGTGCAAGGCTTAGAATCTGGACAGAGAGAAAACAAGCTACAGTGGCTTGTTTTCCCTCCCTGAACATGCTGGTCATAAACCACCTAATGAGCATATTACCATCATGAGTGCAAGTTGTCATGATACTCAAACCTGGTGAAAATAGGTGGCTGAGGTGGTTTACAAGCTACTGAGTAACAGTAGAAAAAAACTAGTTTTCATCATGGTAGGTATACCACTTCAACCATCAACCTTTGCTGGGTTTTGACTTCACCACAGCCAGGGTCTGGCAAGGGTAAATAGGTTAATTTTGCAGTTTTAATGTGGCACACACAGGGAGACAAAAAAAGCCACTATAATCTTCTTATGCTCTGCGATCAAGTGCCTTGTCTGCTTCCTCTCTGATCATGTGCTCCAAATTACAGCTGGGATATGTATGGTCTCTTTCTATTAGCAAGCCTGAATTCAAGTCCCATCTTTTCATTTTGAATTTGGTGATAATCCTTTCATTTATTTACCCCTCTCCACCCACAAATGTTTGCTCTTACACAGTTAATTTAACACAATAGTTTTCAAATGCTCGGCCTTCAGAGAATGCTTCCTGGATCAACTTATTTTTCAGGGTGCCCTTGAGACTCTGTTTGAGAATCTCTGAGTGTTGCAGAAGATTCTAAAGGATATTTTCAGGTACACACAGGGACACACAATGTGTAACAGCAGCAGATCTTGAGTTACTTAATCCAAGATCTGTTGCCCCCATTTTAAATGTGCAATATCTGATTAGCAATTAGAGAGGATAATCACAGAGGCTATTCTGTGACATGCAAAATTGGACATGGTGGATTAATTATGGGTTAAACAACCTACAGCTAGCTCACAGTTTACAGTCATTCCATGCAAATGGGGCCATTCTCTGTCTGTCTGTCCTTGCTTGCTTGCTTGCTTACATACTTAAAACATTTATCTGCTGCCTATTTTGCTCATGGCATCTCTTTCCCCACCCTTGTCTCTCTGGTTCTCTCTCTCAGCCAAAACTCACAGTTGGCACAGTTTTTCTGTGTATACAACTCAATTGCAGCAAACATCCTGATTCAGTCTGCCCCACTATTGTGTAAGCCCTTGCACTATAGGGAGCAAGGCTTGTCTTTTTCCTTCTGATTACCACTCCTTCTGTATACTATTTACCTATACAAATGTAAAACCCAACTTTTCCCTTTCTCAGTACCACTTCATAGAGAAGAAAGTGCAAAGCTGAATTTCCTGAGCATGTGCACCATCAGCTCTCCTGTACTTTTCATTTTTTCCTCTTCAGATAGCTGTTCTATTTGACTGACACATTCCATAAAGAACTGATCAGTTCTTCCAAAAATGAATCAGCAAATATCAATATTATTCGATCTGCACAGTTGCACATTTTTAATGATCTGTCTTTCCGGAAAGAGAGAAGGAGGCCCATTTTCCTGAGGGAATATATTTCAGTGCTTTCCTAAGAAACCTACAAGTTATGTGAGATAAAAAATGTCGATTTTATTGAACTTCATTCTAAACTGTCCTCTGTTTCACTTTTGCCAAAGGATATTCTGTCCTGCTTGTTTGCTTTAATTTTCATTTTGACATGTAGCCCACAGTAACTTTCCATTGGACATCTCTTAATTGTAATCTAAACAGTGGGTCTGGAAGGCTGGAAGAGTCTCTCCTGGAGAGAGCTGACTAGAGAATCTCTCTTTCTAAAGCCTAGAAATGCCCTCATCTTCAGTCATCATAATTGGACCTAATCATTTTCATTCATTCATTCATTTCTGTACTTCCCATAGCCAATGCTCCCTGGGAGGCTTACAGTACCTCTTGTTAACATGACCATAATACAATAAAACACTGTATTTTTTCTTGCATATACATTTGTAAAATGACAGTTTAACAGCTGGTTTTAAAATACAAACCCATTATATAGGAAGACAGTACACAGCAAGTGCAAAAAATTGATTAAAAAATCAAATCTATTTTGGAAGAGTAGGATGCTCCGTTTTGCGCATGTCAGTTCATGACATTCCACTTTCAGTGTATGGACTGGCTTGCTATTGCCAGTGTTAGTTTTTCTTTATAAGCGTCTCTTTGTGACCTATTCCTATTGTGCTATTTTCAGTAAAGACAGTGCAAACCACTTTCTCTGCAGTAACCAAGGTCATATGAACAGCAAGTTTATTTCAGCAAACTAATGTAGTGATGATAGCAAGACAATAGAGGATGTTCAGCAGAACAGCCCACGAACCCTAATCAATGAATTCATGAAAGTTCAATAACATGTCCTAAGAGTACGATTACATTTCAGTCGAGCTACCTTGCTTTACTTCCCTGTTGTTGTATTCCTTAGGCTCTTTTGTCATGCTCATGTCCATGTAACCATTAGAGGGTAACCATTAGTGGGGAATCATTGGGATGGCGGCCAATGACAAGCAGGGTCCCCCAGGGCTCTGTCCTGGGGCCGATCCTGTTTTATCCTTTCATCAGTGACATGGAAGAGGGGTGAACAGTCTGCTGATCAAATTTGCAGACGATACTAAAACTGGAGAAGTGGCCACAACTGAGGAGCAGGTACTCCAGATCCAAAAGATCTGGACAGACTATGGAAGTGGGCAGAAGACAACAGGATGGTGTTCAATGTGGATAAGTGCAAGGTCTTGCACTTGGGGCATAGGAATAGGTGTAATAAGTACAGGTCAGGCGACAAGTGGCTGGAGAGCAGCACTTGTGAAAGGGACCTTGGGGTGCTGGTTGATTACAGGCTAAACATGAGTCAGCAGTGTGATGAGGTGGTCAAGAGGGCAAATGCCACCCTTGGTTGCATAGCCAGAAGTGTGGCTTCTAGATCGAGAGAGGTATTACTGCCACTCTATACGCCTCTGGTGCGTCTTCAACTGGAGTATTGTGTTCAGTTTTGGGCCCCTCATTACAGGAAGGATATAGCCAGGTTAGAGTTAGTGCAGCGTAGGGCCACAAAGTTGGTGACCAGTTTGCAGGGGATGGGGTATGAGGCGAGACTGAGGGAACTGGGTCTCTTCAGCCTGGAGAAGAGGAGACTCAGAAGGGATCTATTGGTGACATACAGGTATGTGAGGGGATGTCACATGGAGATAGGTAGAGACCTGTTCTCCCCTGCAGAGGAAGGCAGAACGCACTCCAATGGAACAAAGCTCAGGGAACCAAGGTTCCATTTAGATGCCAGGAAGCACTTCCTAACAGTTAGGACCCCAAGGGTATGCAATGGACTTCCACAGGAGGTGGTTGAGGCCCCATCGGTGAGGGTGTTCAAAGATAGGCTGGACATGCACATGGTGGGCATGTTGTGAGCTGAGCCAGCTGGAGCCGGAGGTCAGACTAGCTGGCCCGGGATGTCCCTTCTGACTCGCTCTGTTTCTGTGTTTCTATGTCCCCTTGTTAATAGGATCCGCCTTAATAACATGAAAGCCGTGGTGAATCCAAGCAAGTTCTATCTGGTACAGCATTTTGTTCTCACAATGGTTGACCATCTTTCTTTGGAATACTTTAAAGTAGGACCTGAGTGCAAGAACACCTGGTCTGCAGGGTCATACTGCCTCTCATACTAGAGGTCGGATATAGCCATCAGGACTAGAAGCATTTCATAGACTTTTCCTCCATGAATTTGTCTAATGCTCTTTTGAAGCCATCAAAAGTGATACCCATCACCATAGTTAGTGTTAGCAAATTCTGTAGTTTAATTATGTGCTGTGTGAAGAAGTACTTCCTTATATCTGACTTGGATCTCCCACCAGTCAGTTCCATGAGATAACCCTGGGTCCTAATGTTATATGAGAAGAATAAAAAGGTCTTCTATGCATACTTATTTAAACCTGTAATTGCCTCTTTGCTAAGCTAAAGAGTCACAGACCTTTTAACTATTACTCATATGGGAATTGCTCCTACCCTTTGATGCTTTTAGTTGCCCCATTTTTGAACTCTAAGGTATCCTTTTTTCAGTGTGGAGACCAGACCTGTACGCAATATTCCAAGGGTTATCACACCATAAATTAGTATAAGAGCAGTACGATATTGGGAGTTTTATTTTTGCTTCCAACTGTAATTATGTCTAACACAGAATTTGCCTTTTTCAGAGCTGCTGTTATTTGCATCAAAATGTCCACCACTACCCTAAGATCTCTTTCTTGGTCAATCAGTGCCAACTCAGATCCCAGTTGCTCTGTCATTTCCATACTAGCTGTGAGCTGCTGCTGAAGATGAAGATTCTTTGCTGCATCTTTCACACAAAGGGTGTGTGCCAGGCAATGGATCTCTTGTAGCCAGGACTCTCTTCTGTGGAAGCCCAACCCTTCATAGACCAGCTGTCCGGAAACATAGCAGCTGTTATGGATCTTCATGGAGGACTCTCTGAAAAGCTTCCAATGAACAATTACAATGATTGTTCATTATAAAAATCTATTTCTGGGATGCATTATAAGTTATACCAATGTTGTGGCAGATACTGAAGATGAAAGTCAAATACTTTGGCCTCCTAATGAGAAAGAGCAACTCATTGGAGAAGACCCTGATGCTGGGAATGATTGACAGCAAAAGAAGGGGACGGCAGAGGATGAGGTGGCTGGATGGAGTCACTGGGGCAGTGGGTGTGGGCTTGGGTGGACTCCGAGGGATGGTGGAGGACAGGAAAGCCTGGAGGAGTGTTGTCCATGGGGTCGCGATGGGTGCGACTAAACAACAAACAACAATGTTGTGGATTTCTTATACATATCAATTCAGAAGTTATAGCTAAATGGGATACTATTTTAAAGGTCTTTTTGTTAACAGACATGACATTTTTCCTGTAGAGCCATCCTTTTTCAACAGGCTACTAAGCAAGCCATGCCAATAATTCAAGGTTAAAGGGTTCTGCAAACACCTGTAACGAAGAATGATGCATGGCTTGACCTGTGATTTCAGAAAACTATGCTCTAGCTCCCAGCAATAACCATGAAAGTAGGGAAATGTATCTGTCAGATTAACCAGAAAAGAAATCAATAGAACATAATGGCAAAGCACAGGCTGGCAGAAATAGGAGAACTATGACTCGGTCTCCAAATGGATACGATGAGCACTTCCTTTACCACTGGTCCATTACTGAACTTATTTGTTGAAGATGCTGTTCTTTAACAGCCTTCGGTCATTACTATGCCCCAAAATGCATTCTGTAATTGTGTGTTTCCTTATTTATTGGATAATACACAAGAGGCTATTACTGGCACTCACACAGATATGTCAGCAGATTGGACTGTGCTTCCTTTTTTCATACTCCAGTTTTGGCTTGCTCCTTGGAAGCCTTGTGGATTTCTCAAACTTTTCACCGAATAAAATGAAGTAAAACATACTTAAAATTCCAAAGTTGAATAATGAGTGAGATTAAGATAAGCATAACTACAGAAAGTTTCAGCAAACAAATGAGGGGTTATTCTTGGTAGCTGGCCAGATGGTAAAAGGGACAGAATGTTAAACAGCTGAAAATGATCTTTTCCTATTCCTGTTTTCCTGTTCCTAATTTCTGCCCTCCCTCTCTCCTTCCACTTAGTAGTTACACTAGAAAGACCGACTGAATAATAATTATAGCCACAGATACAAGAATATACTTTATGTGATGGATATGTTGATGCACACAGATCTTTACCTTGTCTCTCAAAAGCATGGGCGGCAAGCCACACTTGCCGTCTACCAGGTATCATTAAGGGAGGGACTTCCCAAAAGCCTGCGCCAGCTATGGATGCACCAAGCAACAAGGAAACATGCCCCAGCCCTTCCCTTGTGCATGGCAGCTAAAGCAGTGGCAGAGGAAAGTCCTCTTCCCAGTGCCTAGTCAGGTACTGCTGAAAACACAAGGACACAACAACCCCCCCCCACCCATGCATTTACATTTTGGGAAGTGGAACATCTCATTCCACTCAAGTATAGCTGGACTGCTGGTGCTGGTGCTGAGTCTCTTTATCCAACATTAAGCATTCATCTACAAATGCTGCTGGAATAAAGGTGCTTAGTAATACAATTTTACAGCCTCATAAAAGCAAGTGGTATTTTACCAACAACCTTATATAGTGACAAATCTATGCCTTAAGGACTCTTTATTAAACAAATTCAAAGTGATCTTGTGTGTTGTTTTGCAATACATTAGATGTTGTTATGTTTACTTAGTCTAAACAGCCTCCTGATGCTGACAGCTGCAGATGATTGCTGTGTTTGAAGAATTAAGCTGTGCTGTTTCAAGTGTCGTCACTGTCCAGCTTTTTCCAAGATGTAAGCCCTGGCAGAAGGCCTTCAAACAATATTTCTCCCACCTACGCACCCATTTCCCCCCTGGAAGCCAATGGCAGTTGATCAGAACCAAAAAGCAAACAAACAGATCATAATTATAATCTGCAATTCAGGATTTCTTCTCGGAAATGATGAAGTGTATAACTTTTCTTTTCGGACCAATATATTCACATATGGAATACATATTTTACAGTGACAACTGACTTGGGAATGGGCTGGCTTCTTTATTTGTGTTTCTAAGACATGAGGACTTTTTTATAAGCAGTTCTAATTTTTTGACAGCAGCATTTAATATGAAATTAGCTTTTTGTAGAGTTTTGTCAGAGTATGAAAACTTGAGAAATGTAGGACTCCTAACCAAACATCAGAGTTCAATAACCATGCATGTAACCAAACATCAGAGTTGGAAATAACATGCATGTAACCAAACATCAGAGTTGGAAATAACATGCATGTAACCAGTTCCTTACAGATGTGAGTAGTCACCTGACCATGGGCATCAGGCCTAAGCCATAATTGCTTACTTGCAAAGGACTTTGAACATGTTAAATGTGCATTATAAATACAAAGTAGTAGTATTACTCTTCCCTGAAGCCACCAGTCAATATGTAAGATGAATCTGAACCCAGCTCCTCTGGGTTTAAGTTGAACACTCAATCTTTGATGCCTCATTGTTTCAGTATTATTCAGATACAGCATTATTAGCAGTATTAATGTACCTCATCAGTACTCTTCATTGTAATGTAATGTTGTTTATTCTCTGTAGGCAAAGTGTGTTTTATGTTGACAAATCATAACTGCTCCTTCCATGCCCATTTTATAGGCAATCCGAAGTTTCCAGATCGCCTTGCATATCTGCCCACTAAGCCCTGAACTATGGAATGAAGATCTCTCTTGGGCAAGAAAGTTGCAGAGAGAGAAAGCAGCCAAAATGGAGGCAGGCACGGAAAGAACAGCTACTCAGCAAGAGACGTCAAATGAACCAATTCCAGATTATGATTTTGAAAGTGATGAGATTGTGGCTGTTTGTGCAGCCATTGCAGAGAAGGAGAAAACCACATTGGCCTCTAAAACTGTTGTGATTGTGTCTGCTTCAGGTGCAGTTGAAACTGTGACAGAAAAGGAGGAGTGTGCAACAACCCCTGATGGGACTGTTTTTATCAAAGCACGATAAACAGCCTCAGCGGTTCAGTTAACAGCTGTGTCCTTGAGGTTCGTTCCTTGCTTTTCATCTTGGTTCTGCTGCAGCCTTGTCATGGATTGTTGGAGCGTTGGAGTTCCCTTGCCCTTTGCACCAAGATAAGCCCCAGTGCATCTCGTTGGACTTCATTTCTTGAGCTGTTTGCTATTAAAACGGGAGAAACCTAGGCAGCCACACATGGATTGCAATTTGAATGCTGCCATATAGAAATGGTCTGTAACAGGGAATGGGGCTGAGCAGCATTTGGTGGAAGCATCCGGCCTTCCTTGGCTGGGTCTGACAGTGGCAGCTTTCTGGAGCTGGAAGCTGGGTGTGCACCCATAATCCGGTAAACGATCCCTCATTATGTTTTCCTGTTAGGGTTTGAAAGCAACTGTAGTTTTTAAAATCATTATTGCAATTTTGAAATAAAACTTTAAGTGAAAGTTGTGAAGAAACAAGCTGAAATGCAGTGTTCTCAGTAGTATTTACTCTTATCCTAATGCTACATATCTCAGTTATTATTCAGGGGTGATCAAATTTTAGTATATTCAATACGCACAAAAGATGCTGCATAATTCGTGCTCTTTTGTGATTATCTTCTCTTTTGTGATTATTCCAATGCATTTGCTTTGTAACTAAATCTGCCTCACAAGTACTTTCCAGATAAAACCTTTAATACAAATGAGCCCTTAGTAGTGACACTGCAGTCTTTAAAACAGAGGCATTATTAGATTGTTTTCCTCCAGCAGGTGCACTTGCAATAAAGTATTTATTACACAGAGCTGGGTAGAACCTGTTGACTTCGTTAGGAAAATATAGATGAGTGTTCCTATTAGCAAAAATAGTTCCTAGCAATCTTCTTTTGTAATAATACAACTTATGCATGTTTTTTGGTAAAGTTTTCCATATATCCAGGATTAAATCCAGTGGCATGCAAGCAGGTTTTCCAGATCCAACCAGAGAGTTTTGAGGGTGCACACAGGACTGTAGTAGGGCAGAGAAACTGTTCTCTTCCCGGTTTCTGTTATCCCATTGGGTGATTAACATAAGATCCAATGCCAAGGCTTTAGCTCAGAGCATTATCTCTTTTTCCTGAAGAGTAACAAATGTGTAACTTACTCAGGCATGGCTGTTTGCATCCAGTCCTATCCATGTTCCTTCAAAATTCCTACAAATTTTAAAGGGACTTACTCCCAAGTAAATGTGCATGGGATTATTGCCCATGAGAAGTACTGGGAATTAGAGCCAATTTTCTGAGCATCCTTCAGTGTGGTATGTGCCATTGTGAACTCATCTAAGCATATTAAGTTTTCCTTATTTCGGTTTCTCCACAAAATTATATACATTATTTATACAAAGTCAGTGCTTTCTTTCTCCAATATTTGATTTGATATCTCATAAGAAGCACCCTTATCATATTCTTTGATCATTTATATGCTAGCAAAATAATTGGTTTTATTTGAACATTATCTCATTTCCTATGATGGGTTATGTTTTGCATGCTTAGGTTTATTTTTAGGTTGTCATGGAATATACCTAATTTGTAATTAAAGTTTGCTTGCTATGTAAACAAAATCTTTGTTTAAAATATACATGGTCTAAAAATGCAGAGTTCATGTACTAAACCAATTTGAGATGCATACTTCATGCTAAGTAAATAACTAAATTCTGCACCCAGGCAATTCAAGATTCTGCACCAAGAGAAAGTGACTACTGTGGTAGGAATTAAGATAGACAATATTTGCATAATTTCTCTTCTTGTTCTGTGCTTGGTTCAGCAATGTTTATTGTTTTGTAATACCAGTCCATTTTATTTTTTTGCACAGGTGAGTAGTAAGACTAGGAGTAACATGGAGTGATGAAGTTCCTGACCCCTGAACATTTGGCTAAGCCACTCCCCTCCCTTGTGAGATTTCAGCAGGCCTTGCCCATGTAATTTCAAGTATCTGTTTTCCCTGTTTGCTTCCTTTTGCTTCCTTTTTTAAGGGAAGTATTGTGAACCTGAATTCTCTGTGCCCAGAATCACCTTCTGGAGTTATTTTGCAGACCCACCAAATGTACCATATTCTGCTGGTCAGCAGCAGGTCTTCTGGACAGTTAAAGTCAGGTGAAATTCCTGGGCTCCAGTTCCTGGGCTCCCAGAGAGTTGTCCAAACGCTGCTGTTGTTCCCTCAATATACTGCATTGCCTTGGTTGGCCACTGAAGGGTCAGAGCAACAATACAACAACAGGACTCACCTCAAGGAGCTTACACAGTAGCTTTCCTTTCCATAGGAGTAGTGCAGAGCTGAAACTACCCAGGACATCTGGGGACACCCATGGGCCTGTGTTACATGAGGAAACACTTGCGTGGCCTGAGCCAAAACCTGGATGCTTCCAGCATCAGTTTCTCCAATCACAGGAGCACTTCCCTCCATGTGCAGCAGTTGCTACAACTGTATTGCCACCAACAACCCATTTCCATTTTTCTGCGTGTGAATATGTAACATGGGTTAGACTTGCTTATGTGGAGGAGACCATATCTGTGTGAACTGGCCATTTCATCATCCATGTTAGGATTTACGTGTGGTGTATGCACCCATCCTATAAAAATACGTGCGTGCTAGGAAATATAGCTTGCTTTCTGTGGGCACAGATTCCTGTTCCTAGCTCTACCTGGAAATCTTCCCAAGGCTGGCTTATGCTAATGAACAGACACCAGAACATTGGTGGCCCAGGAATCCTTCCTGTTTGTGCCTTTGCTCAGTTTGTGCCTTGCTCAGTCAGTTATTGAGCATTGTCAAGGCACATGTCATGTCTTTGAATTTAACTTGCTAAAAATATCCCGTTGTCAGGCTTTTAAAGCAAGCAGATGGGCTGCGTGTGTACCAAATATTAGCTAGCTAATGTGCAAATAACCTATTTTGTGGTGTGCTTCACAGGCTTGGTTTTGGGAGAGATGTCTAAACATCCTACTTTTCAGTCTTCCATCATCACCAATGTGTCTGATTGCTTCATGTGTGACAAATTTTAGCTATCTCCCTAGATATCCTAACAAATTATAGTTTCTAGAGGAGTAGCCATGATTCTGTTGCAGAAAAAGCAGCAAAAAGTCTTGTGACACTTTAAAAGACTAACACATTTATTATGGCATAAGCTTTCATCCAAAGCAGAAAATGCCATCCTGGGTTGAGAGATAGATACATAAGCGCACAGAGAGAAATATGATTTTACCACTAACCTTCTTCTTCATCTACTGACCCATGTGGTATATTTTGAAATTTTTCTTCTTGCTTTAATATTTATTATGATGCCTTGGAGGTCTCTTTTGGGCTCAGAGGCAGCTAAGTAAATACCCCATGCCTGTGGGTGATCTTGGCCTTATTCTGCAGTGAAATGCCTTTGCACTTAGACTCATGCATTTTTAGCCCAGAGGAAACTTTGCACTGTAGTGACAATTATATAGATTACCATACTTATTTTGGTAAGCTTTGTGCTGTACATGTGTTAGCCGAAGCATTCTGTGCCTATGTTCTTCCAGGACGGAATGTGCAATTCCACCTTTTCCCATATGAGCCTGCCCAAGTTTCCAGGTCTTTGGAAGGGGCCCGTCCTGTGGTACTGGTGTCTTCAGATGCTTGCTTGGTGGTGACTGCTCCCAGGCTATGGAACTCCCTGCTGGGAAAGCTTGGGTTGGCTCCCCCTCTGTTGTCCTTGAATAAAGCAATAAAGATTGCTTTATTCAGGCAGGCTTTGGCATGTAAGCTGGGTTGGATGCGGTTCTATTCTACTCTTTGTGTTTTAAGTAGTACTTTCAAGGTATTGGTTTCATGTTTTTATTTATCTATGACAGTACTGTTTTTATTAGGAAGGCAGGACACAAATCAAAGGAATTAATTGCCCTAAATAAAAACTGCATGAATGTTCTTTGCCCTGCTGATTGGACTGGGCAGAGAATGTGTTGAGGGAAAATTGAACGGTTAGGTCTGAAAAGGAGTACACAAATGATGAACTCACATTGACTTCTGCACTTCAGTGACATGTCTGCATTTAATTGTGATTTCCAAAAGAGATGGGTGCCACTACAGACAGTTTCACAAACTGTTATCACTGACATTCAGGCTCAGAATTCTAATTCCAACAGAAAGCAATTCATGTGAAAACAAGTTAAGCAAGGTCACGTGCTTGGTATTTTGCTGGCAAAAACCAGACCTGCAACTTACAAATACTAGACCTCTGTACAGCATAACAACAACACTGAGACACAAAAATCTAACCCTTCGGTGCACACAGCACAGAATTTCATCTCGCCTGTAGCAGCTGCCTGCTTTTGGTGAGGTCAAGCCTTAGGCTTAATGGTTCATCTGGTATCCCAGCAGTCACAGCTTGTAATAAATATGCCTTCATTATTTACTTTTTGTTCAATGTGTATTTTTTAATGATGCGCACTTCTGCTCCAAAAGCATTAGTGCCAGTTCATTGTATCTAGTACAGCAAGTGGACAGCGTTAAGTCCACGCTGGCTGAAACGCAGCAGCAGGGTGCTGGTGGTGGTTTGGAGCACGTCCAGAGCAATTGTCCCAATCACTATCTGCGTGGAAGTACACACATTGATCCTTGTCCTGTGTTTGTCAGTGGACCAGTTTGCACACTCTCACCATGGCTTGCTTAAACTACAGTGGGCTGCAGTGTATGCTAGTAGTCATGTTGAAGGTTCAAGCTGTGGCTTAGTGTGTCATCCAAATTGAGGGAATGTGGGTTATGCAAAGGCTAAACAACCCTTGCACAACTCACCAGCAGCCCACATGCAACCCATGCCTGGAATCAGATGATACAAGCCACAGCTTGAATATTCAAATACTGCCCAGCATGTGCCATGGCTTAAACAAGCCATGGTGATCCTGTGAACTGGGTCAATCTCTTGTCAACTGTTTCTATTGTATTTTGCTGTCTATGACAGCCCTCCCCAAGCTGATGCCCTCCAGATGTTGGTGTTGCAGTCCAACACATCTGGAAGGTGGCATGTTAGAAGAGACTGATCTGTGGAAAAGGGGAAAGTAAACAACTGGCAATACTATGGCTGTGTAAAGTGGAATGCATGTGTACCAATGAAAAACATTAGCTAAGTGAAGGAAAAGTATTGGTTTTGTTACTAGTTGCTCCTTTATAATCACTTCCAATCAAAGAAGGGATTTGATGATGGGCTCATGGTCCAGTGGCATGCACCAGCACGTCTGTGTAGAGTCCCCAAATTTACACCGTTTGCTGTGTTGCTTTTTTGAGCTGCCACCAGCTTGTGAACTGCAGTGGCTGCATATAGAGGCCCCCGTTCATACAGCTAACACCTTCTCCTTCATTGGACTACGTGCCCACAAATGCCTGCACAGCAGCTGCATGGACTGGTCCTCGAGTTGCATTTCGAAGCACAATTATTAGGCCTAAATTTAGCTCAGATGCTAACTGCTTCCAAATAAAAGGCTTAGCATTGGACACGATGGATGCTGACCAGGCAGCTGTAGAGAATACTTCGACATGGATGAATTTCTCATTGGCACCATTAAGGCTCCGATTTTATGCCCGGTCAACTGGGAGTAAGCAAATGCTAGTGAGGCTTCCTTCTGAATGAACCTGCTGCAAAGGGTTGGACTGTACACAAGTATCAAACGCTCAGAGAACTGGGTTATCAGCAGTGGAGGCTGGTGACTCCACGCCAGTGTATTCACCCCACACACAACTCTGAACCTTGATGAGCTGCCCGTGGTGCTGAACCTATTCAGAGGCTGGGGTTCAGCACTACGCACCCCCACAGAGCAGCTGCACTGCCCCCACTCACATTGGCCTTGATGGGAGGCCACTGCGTTCTAACGAGCAGCACGTACTCAGCACGTCAACCCGGCTTTCTTTTGAAGCGCGCGCGCACACACACACACACACACACACTCTATCCAAAACATTTCAAAAAACATAAAGACTTTATTTCCCCCAGTTACACGGTTCCCACAAAATTCCAAATTCATCCAGTCTTGCGAATTACCTCTGCTTTGGCCCATTGAGTTGGTGCATTTGAAAAATAAATCTAATGTAAAATTATCTATCAGGAGGCATTTGGGGAAGTAGCAGACTAGTAATATTTCTCTATACCTTGTATTAATAATTAACCTTCTCACAGAGAAGAATATAGCAATTTTAAATACATTCAGTGACAATATATACAGCCAGAGAAATTCACATTTTTTTCACACAATAGGAGAGTTTTTCCATTCCCTATCAACTCCCAGCAACTGTCTTTCAATCAGTTCTCTCTCAGCCTTATTAAGTAACAAGGGAAGAGACACAAACTGGGATAAGCACACCTCGATTATATTTCGATGGTGGGAAATGACAACTCTTTCCAGACTTGGGACTAATGGGAAACTGTCCGATGTCGCAGGGCAACACTTCTGCTGCACTTCCGATGCCACTCCATTCATCTGAGACACTGTCGGGGTCTGATGGCGGAAGAGTCTACGAGCTGATCCCCACGAGGACTGTGCTTGTGACTTGAGAAAAACCACTTCAGAACACAGCAGCTATGTTTTTCTTTCTTTTTTTGCAGGAAAGATGGCGCACCTAGTGTGTAGACATGCAGTGTCCAGAGAGAAGAATATTTAACTTTCAGCCTGACGGCTGCCATATTGTGTCCCACATGGTCTTTCACTAGGTGCTCGTTTCCCGTCCACTTTGCTCTAAATGGCTCCTCAATCCCACTAGACTGGAAAAGCGAAAAGCCAGAAGGGCTTTGGTTGTGCCTTAACCATGATAGGCCAATAGACTGGATGGGCAAGGATGGACCACTTCATCCTAAGATGCAGGTGGTCCTTTCGTAAAGGACCAGCGGCATCTTGATTCCTTCTGTGCTTATATACACTTCTCCGACAAGCTGAGTGTCTCACTGGGGAAAGTGACTTGAAGAGAGCTGCCCTTTGGAGTAGAACGCATCCCACCACTGGGCCTCAGTTCACTCACCAAAAAGGCATTTTCACTGTCTTGCCCCTGTGAAGACTCTGAGGTGTTTGAGCTCCTCAGCGTCCTTATGGATGCAGTGTCTGACTGGGCAAGACTGCTGCCTGCCCCTGGCAGCAGCATGCGTTCTCCAATGGTGCCTTCGCTGGGCTCCAGAGGGTACAGAAGAGTCTGAGAGGTGCTGCTGATTTCCCTCAGTTCTCGAGAGATGAAGGAGGGCGAATGAGTGGCGGTAGTGGAGGAGGCCCTGCGGCCATCCGTGCAATTACAGTTGTTCCTCGAGTGCGACCGGTGGGCCCCTCCGATGCGGCAGAAGAGACACTTGACCTTCTCAATGGCTTTGCTCAGCACTGTCTTGCGGAGAAGAATGTAGACCCACGGATCGAGGATGGGGTTCACCGAGGCGATGCGGATGGCCTGAAGGTCAGGGTTTTGCCGAATATCTGCCACTAAAGGCGGCTGGTACAGCTGGTTCACAAAGACACGCACCTGGAAAGGGAAAAGTCGTAAGGATTTGTATATCATTTGATGATAAAAGGCCAGGCTGACATTTCAGAGCAAATGGTGTTTTAGCAACTGTCTGTTCCAACAGGAAGGGAGGCAGGCAGAGCAATGCTTTCTGTAATTTCGGTAGGGAGCTATTTTTAGAATGGGAAAAATTTCCAGCAAGCTGATTTCACGCAGAGATAAAGGACCTTCCTCCCATCTATATTATAAGTGCTTTCCATGGGTCAAAAAACTTTGTGAGACTTGTTTCTGATATGCCTGCACTCTCTACTCCCAGGCATTTGGTCATTATTCCCTAATTCACAGTATCCAACGGAACATCACAAGTTTCTTTGTTTTTTAAGAGCTAATTCTTCAGTACAACCCACTCTGCTATTAACTGTTCTGGGTGTGTAAGCAGCTATAGAATATGGCCTTGAGTCATTTCGGGAAATCCAGCCAATCACTGAATACTCTAATCCAGCCAGTCTCCCATAAATACACATTTCAAAACTAAATTGGAGCTGATTTTCCATCTCGCAGGCAAATTCTCCTTCAGGGACAGGCCTGGAACTGTAGGCTCTTTGAGGTTAGAAGTAATGTTTGCTGGTATCTTCCAAGACTTGAATATTTAAGGAAAGGGCTTTTTTGTTTTTGTTTTAATACCCGCCAAATTTTGCTTGTAGTAGCTTGCTAAGTGTTATTTCCTTTAAAGACAGGTTGCCTGGGATTAACTGTTTTTCCCCCAGATTAAAAAAAAGTACACCACTGAGAATGATGAACAGCACTAAATTTAAATTGTGCTGTTGACTTATCTCCATGTGAATTTGGTCTGCCCTATTTATAATGGATTACTCAAATGCTGGCTGTCTTCCCATGAATGCTGCACCTCAAATGCACCAGATGACGGCCAGAAACCTAAGGCTAGTCAATGGTTTTCAGAGTCAGGTCCAACTAACATCAGAGACGTAATCACAGCAGCTTGCGGCAGCAAAAAGAAAAAATGAGGCACAGGAAAGACTAAGGGTGCAACCCAGCCAAAGCGAATGACTTTTTAGTCTCACATGTAATGGAAGACAATCTATCATGTGCTTAATGGTTCAGTTTGACTCAATGGGATTTGCAAGTGTTGGATTTGCATCCTAAGTAACCACATTTTTCATTTTGGGAATGAGCTCACAGAGCAGTAAAGGCATCGGCCTAACCAAGTTTAGGCAGAAAAACAACCTAAACCCCCCAGTATAACCCAGCTGGAGATACTGGGAGTTTTTGGTCATTTTTCTGTGTAAATTTGCATAGGGTTGTGCATTAAAAGACTGAGCTGTAGATCAGGAAGTCTACAATATGGAAACAAAATTGCTGACCAACATCACAGGCTTGTAAAGATTGCAAAGATAACATAAGCAAAGCTTGCATCACTCAGAAAACACTGGCTATTATTAGCAAGGGCTGCATTTGTCACGCTAGATTAATCAACTAAAGGCTTAGTTGATTAATTTATGGATATAAAAATTTAGCAAGGGGGCTGAGAATTAAGGGCACACATTTAGTTGGGTAAAGTTGATAATCTGATTATAATAAAATAAAATGTGGCTATCTTTTGTAACAATGAGTGATTACTTTTGTTTGTTATACTGTAAATTATAGTGCACACTTCTCACAGTACCCCCAAAGCATCTGACAATACAGAAATGCGCAACTCTACCAGAGAGCAAATATATGAATTGGTGAGATTCAAGTGAATACATTTTCTAACCATTAGATGGCATCATAACTTCACTTCTAGATGCTCTTTTCTCTTGCGAACTGGTTTTAGAAAGCATGAAAAGGAATAGAGGACTGCTACCGAATTTGACTTCAAATGCCTAAAAGAGAAGCAGCAGCAGCAAGGACAAACGCAAAGGATAAAAGATGTGGGCATCCAACAGATCAGAGTACCAAAATTCAAATAAAAGGCACTGCACTGAGTAAGTGACGTGAATGGGGTGTTAATGACTTTTTCAGTGAACAGTTAATCCTCTATTTCATCAGAACCCACCCTGAATATTGCTCCAAATTAGAGCAGTGGTTCCCAAACTGTGCTCTGGGAACATAGAGCACCTTGGAAGCTTATGTGATGCTTTCCAATGGGAAGAGCAGCCCTGGTGGACAAGTTCCCTGAAAAAGAGGAGGCATGCTCCTTCTGGTGTCCCCAGGTAAAGTGCAGGTGCAAGCGATTCTCAGGGACAAATGGCATGTGATAGTAGACACACAGTTCTGGTGTGAAGTCCAAGGTGTGGGTGGTGGCATTTTTCTACAAATAGCTAGCATGGACCTCCTAAACAGGATGACCTTAGGGTTTCAACTCCCCTGCCCTTCTAACAGGCCAGTCTGGATTGGCGGGACAAGTTGCATTGCAAAAAGAAAACATTAAAACAAAGGGGACCTTTTATGCAATGAAAGCTATAGGCAGGTAGGGCCCAGATCCAGATGGGACCTGACATGGGTTGTCACAGGGTCACATCTTTGTTATCCCTCCCAATACTTCATTGATCTGTATAGGGGGCTCCACTGTGGCTGTTTGGAAAACTATGCAGAGATGCCCAAAAGCATTTGTGGGGATTATGGAACAAATGCTTAATTAATCCTTGGCAGACCAGTCTGAAAAAGTATGGCTTAAGATGACAGTATTTCCACATCTGTGCTTTCTGGTATTGGCCATTTATGGTGGGCAAACAGTAAGGGACCTGCCCGAGGCTGCACTGAGAACCTTCAGTAGAATAAGCATTTGAACTTGTGCCTGAATCCAAACTTTCGATCCCCTGAAGCTTGTTGTGAGTCCAGTTTCCTGCCACTAAGTGGCAAGAAGACAATTACTACAGCTAATTAACCAAGCTTATTTCCCTGCCCTGCAAAAGATTCTCACCCCTGCTTCTGCATCTCTCTCTCTTGGCAATTCACTGAGCCCTACAACCATGTATCTGTTAGGAACCTATAACGTTATTCTATTAATTTTAGGTGGTTCAGGTTAAAGAAAGTATCTGGTGTGTATTGATTGCGTTAATTGTGTAGTACTAAGCACACACACTCAGAATTAAGGCTATGATCCTACAAACTGGCTGCAAGCTCAAGTCAGCCACCCTTTTTGCATTGGGTGCAACATTTTTCAGTCCTGCATATACAAGCCTACAAGTCTGGAGCCCACAGAGCTGTTTACGGAGCTTGCATGCTCACAAAAACCTACGTTAAATATTCATGGTGTGAAGAAGCCTTCCCTTTTATCTGTCCCGAATCTCCCACCAATCAGCTGCATGAGGATTATGAAAGACAGAGAAAAATGTCTCCCTCTCCACTTTCTCCATATTATCCAGAATTCTCTAGAGCACTATCATCTCTCCCTTTCCTAACTGTTTTTAAATCTCAGTTATTGCAACCTTTCCTCAGAGGAGAGCTGCTCCACCCCCTTGATCATTTTCGTTGTCTGTACCTTTTTCCACAGTGGCCAGAATGATACACAGTGTTCTGAGTAATCACACCGTAGATGTTTATAAGGGCAGTATGGTATTGGATGGTTTTATGTTCACATGTATTTCCTAATTACGCCTAGCACAGGGTTTGCCTTTTGCACAGCTGCTACAGACTGGCTCAGTGTTTTCACTGAGCTGTCTTCACAACTCCAAGATTTCTTACTTGGTCGTTGTAATTTTCTATGTAATTTTCTATGATCATACCTAAACAAATGATAACTGTATTTGTAACAATAAGTACATATCAAGGTAAGAAAAGCCCATGAGATACACAACCAAATTAAGTTGCCAGGCCAACCATCTCCAAAACCCCTAAAAGATGGACCACATGCAAACTTGCACCCCAGCAGAGACCTGGGCAAACATGGCCCTTTATTAAATCTACCTGTACCAGATGCACAGTTGAAGCCATTCAATTGACCCATATAAGTCATGCCTATTCAAGAACATTTTACATGGAGAATTGGCAATTGGTACTGTATAAGCAGCCTCTTCTTCAGAGCACCCAGGATGGAACAGTATGTTCCAGGAGAGCTGTCCCCAGCCTGGAGATGTGCAGAAGTCTCAGACTACAACTTCCATCATCTCAGCCAGCTTGGGGATGATGGAAGTTGCAGTCTGGCATCTCTAGAGGGTGCCATGTTGAGGACAACCATTCCAGTATGCTCTGAGTAATCCTGCAGAAATAATGGCCATCTCTCTAGGGACTCTTGGCTTTTGATCAGCTGCACTGTAATTCACATCACTGCCTGTGAATTCCAAAGACAGACAAAAAAGCAGAGCTAAATTCCTGATTGTACAGATGTCTTCCCCTTCCTCCCTTCTAATAATTTCCCTCCTGATAATTGCATAAATGAAATTCTCCCATAATCCGCTTGAATTAATACAGCTACTCTGGGGATGTATAGTCATGACCCAAACCCTGCTCACAGACAAACAGCCTTCTGATGCAGACCACTCACTTTGGGAAAATGCTAGTGTGTGTCCAGCTGTTGCTTGAACTCCTGCAATGCTGGCATAGCATGCCTGGCTAAAACAGAAACCAAGCAAAACAACAACGCAGTAGATGCCAAATAAGCTGCCAAACTGTTTTTCTCACAGAGCTGAAGCAGTGCTTGCTCACTGTAGCTTTTGCAGGGTCTGTGTTGGTGATGCCTTCTGGGCATGATCACATTTTGCAAAGCCAATTCAATGGGACAACTGAGCAGACCCCACCAATTTTGCTGGCGTCAAGCTGCTAATCCAGCTTGAACAGTGCAATTCTCCTCCACAGGTCCAACCCGATGGAAGCCCAACAGCAGTGCAGTGGAAGTTACTCTCACGGAAGCATCCACAGGGAATGGCAGGGAATTGGCTGAAAGTAGTCAAGGGTGATGCTACTTGGGTCTTCTTGGCCACTTCCAACTCTACTATTCTATGATTTAACAGTTGGTGGACAGGTCTGTGTCTCTGACTCTAAAGTAGATGACATTATCTTTTGAGATGTTCACCAGCTCT